CCATGGTGGTTTGCTGCCTCCATCCCACCCATCACCTAATTAGGTATTTCTCCTAATGTTATCCCTCCTCAATCTCCCCACCCACCTGTATACCTCCCCGAGTCCCCCGTTCCACAACGGGCCCTGATGTGTGATCTTCACCTCCCTGTGTCCATGTGTTCTCACTGTTCAACTCCCACTTATGAGTGGACATTCAGTGTTTGGTTTTCTGTTCTTATGTCAGTTTGCTGATAATGATGGGTTCAAGATTCATCTGTGTCCCTGCAAATGACATGAACTCATCATTCTGATCATTTTTTATGGCTGCATAGTATTCCATGGTGTATATGTGCCACATTTTCTTTATCCAGTCTATCATCGATGGGCATTTGGGTTGGTTCCCAGTCTTTGCTATTGTAAACAGTGCCACAATGAACACACATGTGCAGGTGTCTTTATAATAGAATGATATATAATTCTTTGTGTATATATCCATAAATGGGATTGCTGGGTCAAATGAAATTTCTATTTCTAGATCTTGAGGAATCGCCACACTGTCTTCCACAATGGTTGAACTAATTTACACACCCACCAACAGTGTAAAAGTGTTCCTATTTCTCCACATCCTCTCCAGCATCTATGTCCAGATTTTTTAATGATAGCCATTCTAACTGGCATGAGATGGTATCTCAATGTGGTTTTGATTTTCATTTCTCTAAAGACCAGTGATGATGAGCATTTTTTCATGTGTTTTTTGGCCACATAAATGTCTTCTTTTGAAAAGTGTCTGTTCATATCTTTTGCCCAGTTTTTTTATGGGTTAGTATTTTCTGTTGTATATCTGTTTTAGTTCTTTGTAGATTCTGGTTATTAACCCTTTGTCAGATGGGTAGCTTGCTAAAATTTTTTCCCGTTTTGTTGATTCCTGGCTCACTCTAATGATTGTTTCTTTTGCTGTGCAGAAGCTCTTAAGTTTAATTAGATCTCATTTGTCAGTTTTGGCTTTTGTTGCCATTGCTTTTGGTGTTTTAGTCATGAAGTCCTTGCTTATGCCTATGTCCTGAATGATATTGCCTAGGTTTTCTTCTAGGGTCTTTATAGTGTTAGTTCTTATGTTTAACTCTTTAATCCATCTGGAGTTAATTTTTGTATAAGGTGTAAGGAAGGGGTCCAGTTTCAGCCTTCTGCACATGGCTAGCCAGTTTTCCCAACACCACTTATTAAATAGGGAATCCTTTCCCCATTGCTTTTGTCCGGTTCGTCAAAGATCAGATGGTTGTAGATATGTGGCATGACTTCCGAGGCCACTGTTCTGACCCATTGGTCTGTATGTTTGTTTTGGTACCAGTACCATGCTGTTGGTTTCTGTAGCCTTGTAGTATAGTTTGAAGTCAGGTAGCGTGATGCCTCCAGCTTTGTTGTTTTTGCTTAGGATTGTCTTGGCTATGCAGGCTCTTTTCTGGTTCCATGTGAAGTTTAAGGTGGTTTTTTCCAGTTCTGTGAAGAAGGTCACTGTTGCTTGATGGGGATAGTGTTGAATCTATAAATTACTTTGGTCAGTATGGCCATTTTCACGATATTGATTCTTCCTAACCATGAGCATGGAATGTTTTTCCATCTGTTTATGTCCTCTCTTATTTCCTTGCGCAGTGGTTTGTAGTTCTCCTTGAAGAGATCCTTCACGTCCTTTGTTATTTGTATTCCTAGGTATTTTATTCTTGTAGCAATTGTGAATGGGAGTTTGCTTGTGATTTGGCTCTCTGTTTGTCTGTTATTGATGTATAGGAATGCTTGTGATTTTTACACATTAATTTTTTTTTTATCTGTAGACTTTACTGAAGTTGCTTATCATCTTAAGGAGATTTTGGGCTGAGACAGTGGGGTCTTCTAAATATACAGTCATGTCGTCTGCAAATAGAGACAATTTGACTTCCATTTTTCCTAACTGAATACCCTTATTTCTTTTTCTTGCCTGAATGCTCTGGCTAGAACTTCCGTTACTATGTTGAGTAGGAATGGTGAGAGAGGGCACCCTTGTGTAGTGCCAGTTTTCAAAGGGAATGCTTCCAGTTTTTGCCCATTTAGTATAATATTGGTTATGGGTTTGTCATAAATAGCTTTTATTATTTTGAGATACGTTCCATCGATACCTAGTTTATTAAGAGTTTTTAGTATAAAGGGCTGTTGAATTTTATCGAAGGCCTTGTCTGCATCTATTGAGATAATCATGTGTTTTTTGTATTTGGTTCTGTTTATGTGATTCATTACATGTATAGATTTGTATATGTTGAACCAGCCTTGCATCTCCAGGATGAAGCCTAGTTGATCATGATGGATAAGCTTTTTGATGTGCTGTTGCATTCAACTTGCCAGTATTTTATTGAAGATTTTTGCGTCAATGTTCATTATGGATATTGGCCTGAAATTCTTTTTTAGTTGTGTCTCTGACAGGTTTTGGTAGCGGGATGATGTTGGTCTCATAAAATGAGTTAAGGAGCATTCCCTCTTTTTGTATTGTTTGGAATAGTTTCAACAGGAATGGTACCAGTTCCTCTTTGTACTTGTGGTACAATTTGGCTATGAACCCATCTGGACCTGGGCTTTTTTGGTTGGTAGGCTATTAATTGCTGCCTCAGCGTCAGACCTTGTTATTGGTCTATTCAGGGATTCAACTTCTTCCTGGTTTAGTCTTGGGAGGGTGTAAGTGTCTAGAAAGTTATCGAAATCTTCTGGATTTACTGGTTATGTGCATAGAGGTGTTTGTAGTAATCTCTGATGGTAGTTTGTATTTCTGTGGAATCAATGGTGATATCCCCTTTATCATTTTTAATTGCATCTATTCGATTCTCCTCTCTTTTCTTTTTTTATTAGTTTGAATGGCAGTCTATCTATTTTGTTGATCTTTTCAAAAAAACCAGCTGCTGGATTTCCTGATTTTTTGAAGGGTTTTTTTGTGTCGCTATCTCCTTCCGTTCTTCTCTGATCTTAGTTATTTCTTGTCTTCTGCTAGCTTTTGAGTTTGATCTTGCTCCTGTAGCTCTTTGACTTTTGACAATAGGGTATAGATTTTAGATATTTCCCCACTTCTCTTTTGTTGTACATCTCACAGATGCATTCATTCATGCCATGAAGTAAACGGTTGAAGTGTACAGTGATGTTCCACGCTCCCCGTCTAACGCAGCTTGCTCAAATTTACAGGCAGACTGACGTTTTCTTTCACATGTACTCCAAGTAAAGCTGGTTAGTGAGGACCATGAGCAGCAGCTGAAGCTTTTGCAGCCTTACTTCTTTTATCAGCGGCCGGGATTTTATAAATGATGAAGCCCATGAGCCCCCTTCCTACCCAAATCTCCTGGTAAACTTGGGTATAGTGGGCTTCATGGGGAGCCATATATTTTTAATAATTCTTTGAAGCATCTTGGAACAGGACAGACGGCTAAGGGAGCACCACAAACCCACAGGCAACTCAGAAGGGCATTTATTTATTTATTTATTTATTTTGTAGACGGAGTTTTGCTCTTGTTGCCAGGCTGGAGTGCAATCTTGGCTCACCGCAACCTCTGCCTCCAGGGTTCAAACGATTCTCCTGCCTCAGCCTCCCAAGTAGCTGGGATGATAGGAATGCACCAGCACCCTGGCTAATTTTGTATGTTTAGTAGAGATGGTGTTTCTCTATGTTGGTCAGGCTGGTCTCGAGCTCCTGACCTCAGGGGATCCGCAGGCCTCGGCTTCCCAAAGTGCTGGGATTACAGGCATGAACCACCGTGCCCAGCCGATGGCAGTGATTTTTACGGCCCAAACACTCCAGTCTCATCTAGTAATCTCAGGCAGTTATAGTTTGTAAGCAGTTGCTTGAGAGGTTAACACTTTAAATCCCCAGTCATTTACAGTGTCATTGGTTTCCTTCTGCTGCCAGGAAAAGTTCCAAATTCCTTGTCATGGAATATAAACACCCATGTTCATTTGGTTCTTGTCAAGTTCCTCAGGCATATCTCTCACCACTTACTGTGTTCTGCCCTTTGTTCTAGCATCCAGCCAAACTGGACTGCACAGAAGTCCACGGTGCTCTTCCTTCACCTCCGGCTCTTTGCGCTTGCTTCTTGGCTGTGCCAATCTGTTTTTCGTGTCTTCAGGCATCCACTAACCATGCCTCCACCAAAAAGCCTACAGTATCGAGTCAAAACTGGGATAGGTGTCCCTCCTATGTTCTAATAGTGCCCTGTTTTATACGTGTCAGGGTGTCTATGACTTGGCATGGAAACAGCCTATTTGTCTACTTTTCAGGGTATAGCATACGATTGCTGAGGGGTGGACTGTATATCTTGATCTTGTAACTCCAGGGCTTGTCGTAGTCTAGTACCTTAGCACATGGTTGTTGAATAAATGAGTGAAGAATGAGAAAACCAGAAGCTGTGATACTCAACCGCAATGATCATTAATTCAGTGTGCAACTATCGGCAAATTATTATCTAATAATAACTTAGCATTGTAGTCATATGTCTTTTTTATTCTTATTAACACTGAAAAAGTTCTCAACTCTTTTTTACTGACTTAACACTTGGTTACCTATGAAATATATAGAATGTAATTCTTTGGCCACGAATGTTGGCTCACGCCTGTAGTCACAGCACTTTGGGAGGCTGAGGCGGGCAGATCACTAGTGCCCAGAAGTTTGAGAGCAACCTGGGCAACATGACACAGCCCTGAGCCTACATAAAATACAAAAACTTGCAAGGTGCAGTGGCTCATGCCTGTAGTTCCAAGTACTTTGGGTTGAGGTGGGAAAATTGCTTAAGCCTGGGAGGAAGAGACTGCAGTGACCTGTGATCACACCAGGGCACGCCAGCACAGGTGAAAGAGCAAGACCCTGTCTTGAAATAAATAATAATAATAATAATAATAATAATAATAATATAATTCTTGCTTTTTCTTTTCAGCTGCTACTGCAATTGGACCTGGATCCCGTATCGCTTTTCCACTAGGATTTGCACACAAGGCAAATGTGAATGTAGACCCAGTTTCAGAAGCAGTAAGAGAATGTGCACAGGTTTTGTACAGAGAATACAAGATCTGGTGAGTGTCCAGAAGATAGCAGACACTTAATAAAAAAAAAAAAAAAGAAAATACAAGATCTGAAAGGTAAGGCAATTTTATTTCTAGGCTTTTTAGGTGATAATTTGTTTCCTGTCAAATATATCAACATTTTTATTAAAGGGAAATATTTCATATTATGCATGTCTGATTATAATTTATGTAGTATTTAAAAAAATGTTTCTTGGCTTCTTCAGCTAACTTTTCAGTGGATTTTACAAATGAAAATTAGTATTGAATTTTACATACTCGAACTGCCCAAATGTTCACTGTTTAAACAGCCAAATAATCAAGTTGCCATTGATACTTGAGTGGAATTAACTGATGGTTTGTTTGTATTTTATAATTTTTATTTTTATGTATGTTGATAGATTGAAGTTTAGATAGGCGTCATTTTGGTATACTGGTACCGTGGACATTGTCCACGTCAGATGTGTTATGATTGTTATAGTGCAATCAAACTTATATAATTTTAATTTTAAGCACTGATTTATATGGATCTTTCCTTGTGGAAAAATAAGGTTTGCCTAAGGTTTTCTGCTTTTTCTATTTATTTTTTCATTTCTTTATTTGATTAACTTTTGGGAAACAGTCTTAAGATTGGAGAAAAGTTCTAAATTTTAGGGAAAAGAACTTTCTCCCTGGGGAGCATTTGAGAGTAAGTTGCTGACATTATGCCATCACATCTGATATCTTTAGTGTGTACTTCTGCAAGCTAGGGCATTTAATATAACTACTTCATAATCAGAAAGTTACCATCAATACATTCGATCATTTAATTCTCAGTTTCTTTTCAAGCTTTGTTAATTGTCTACAATGTTCTTTGTAGTTGTCATGACTCTCTCAGTCTGGAACAGTTCCTCAGTTTTTCTTTGATCTTTATGTCCTTAAGTCTTTTGAAGAGTAAAGTTCAGTAATAAAGAATGTCCCTCCATTGGGTTTCTCTGAGTTTTTATTATGACAAGATTTAGATGAAACTTTTCTTTGGCAAGAGTATCACAGAAGTGATCCCATGATCTTCTTACTGCGTTCTGTCAGGTGACCTGCAATTATTATTTTTTATTTCCATCTTTTATTTTAAGTTCAGGGGTACATGTGCAATATGTGCAGGTTTGTTACATATGTAATATGTAACATGGTGGTTTTCTGCACAGATCATCCCATCATGTAGGTATTAATAATAGCCCAGCATCCACTAGCTATTCTTCATGATGCCGGTCAAACCCATGTGAGACACCATCTCACACCAGTCAGAATGGCTATTATTAAAAGGTAAAAAAGTAACAGATGCTGGCAAGGTTATGGAGAAAAGGGAATGCTTATGCACTTCTCGTGGGAATTTAAACTTGCTTAGTCATTGTGGAAAGTGGTTTGTCAATTTCTGAAAGAACTTAAAACAAAATTGCCACTTGACCCAGCAGTCCCATTATTGAGCATATACATACCCAAAGGAATATTAATCATTCTACCGTAAAGACACATGCATGCATATGTTCACACAGCATTATTCACAATGGCAAAGACATTAGATCAACCTAAATGCCCATGGTTGGTAGAGTGGATCAGGAAAATGTGGTACATGCACACCGTGGAATACTACCCAGACACTGAAAAGACTGAAATTGTGTCCTTTGTATCAACATGGTTGCAGCTGGAAGCCATTATTCTAAACAAACTAATGCAGAAACAGAAAACCAAATACTACATGTTCTCATTTGTAAGTGGAAGCTAAACATTGCTTATATATGGACACAAAGAAGGAAACAGCAAACACCATGGTCCACTTGAGGTGGAAGGTAGGAGGAGGGTGAGGATTGAAAAACTATTGGGTACTATGCTTATTAGCTGGTGACAAAAAGTAATTTGTACACAAAACTCCCATGACACACAATTTACCTATATAGCAAACCTGCACATATACTCCTGAACCTAAAATAAAAGTGAACAAAAAGTAACCTAGATAAAATAAGCTTTTAAGAAAATCGTAAGGAAGAGGGCATCTATTTATTGTTCCGTGTTGTACTTATTGATACCATAAGCTTACATCATCTGTTTCCAAGATGAAGAATTATCTGAAATGGTGAGCAACCACAGCTGTCGGCCTCAGTGTGTGGTGCATATCGAGCAATTCAACTTTTCCTTGTATTGTCATAACTTTACTTCTTGGGAGCCCTTTGGTATGACTCATGGGACTTCAAGTGATTTCCATGGTGTTATTTAAGGTTTATAATATTATGCTAAACAGTGAAAAATATGTGAGAACCACAAGAGACCACTTTTTACTGTGAAAGGCAGTTTACTGGAGAGACTTTTTAAAAATTTTACAAAATAGACTTTATTCTTTAGAGCATTTTGAGGTTCCCAGAACAGAAATCCTGAGGGCTCTAGGGTCCTTTGAAAAGGTGTGCAGTGCAGCCTTTAACAGTCTTGATTCCTGCACTCCATCAGGAGGGGAAGAAGCTGTAGCTAAGTGTCATGAAGAGCTGGCTCAGGAGTTCGAGGAAACAAAACATATTTCTGTACATCCCATCAGCACCAGCAGCTTATCACAGCTATGGGAACTATATGATGGATCCAGTGTTCAAAGACATTGAAGAGAGCATTGGGAATATGGTGAGGAGGGAGCCCAAAATGCAGCTGATTGCAGCAATGTGGCAGGAAAAACCACTTCCGAAGAAGGTTATACTACTGGCACGTATTGGTCCAGGGTCATTTGAGAGCCAGTTGCTTTCATCTAGGCTATCACAACTGCAACCAAAGAAAGAAAAAATGCTTTGTTTGTTGAAATAACCCTTAAGAGAGCCTTCCAAAGAAACATCAGGGAAATTATAGGTGGAGAAGTGTAATGTCCTCCTCTTTACAACCAAATAAAGAGTATGAGACTTTTTGATTTGGTAAAATCCCTACTTGAATTTGGACATGTCTTAGCTGGCCATGCTTTTATAAAGGTTTGAAAACAGCTCCCAACAGGTTGTTCAAGGTAAATGCATATGTATACATAAAGGTCATAAAATCTACAGAAAGCTACTTTGAAATGTGTGGGCTCTTTGCAATATAGTACCATTTAATGAAGATTAGAAGAGATTGTGTTCACATATAGTAAACACAATCTAATGATAACTTGCTTCTGGAAAACATATGGAAGCAAATATGATTCAAGTGCTTGAGAACCCCGATGAAGTGCCTTTATTACTAGTTCTTGCTGATGCATTTAAAATAGCTGAACAGCTTAATAAATATTTACTTTATGACTCTCAGTATACTGAGTTTCATGAATCAGAAACAAGAAGTCAAGATTCTGAGATGACAGTAGGTGTTATGAAGAA